TACAAACATTGCGTACTAAGGCCACACCAATTTAATTTGTTGTTTTTGGATTTTTTCAGAAAAAATATGAATCGACAGGTCGAAAAAAAAGGCCAAAGCAACCCATGTTAGCCAGAAATGTTACAATATGAGCCATGAAGTCAACATACCAGGCTGGTTTATAATCAAAACAATTTATTTTGAACTTAAAATGAAAGAAAGTTGCATTGTTACATTGAAAAACTTTAACAATTAGGAAGAAGAGGACTTTCTTCAACCGGTTGAGCCAAAATATGTCTTTTATTGTGCATTTTGCAGTTGATTTAGAACCTACAATTTTTTTTTTTTTGCAAATCAGGAAAAAATGGACAGGGCGAATCCGAGAAACAACAAATTAAATTGGCGTGGCCTAAGCATCACAGGTTTTAATGGTATCAACAGCAAGTTAATTACCTTTTGCGCTGCCGAACAGGTTGGAGTCCGGGGACAGTGGAACAGACTCATCTGGGAACAGGTCGTCCTCAGGATCTCCCACAGTCTCCGAGTGCTGCTCTGTTTCTTCTATTTCCTCTTCCATGCTGGTACCAAAGACTCTACATATCCAACACACCAGACACAGACTCAGACAATGACATACACTCTTATGTGATGTTGATAGAGACAGGGCCTTTCAGTATGGATATTTACATTACAAATGAAAATTTGTCAAATTTTAGACTATACTGTTCAGGCCTGATATTGTTGTTGTTTTCCAGGAGCAAAACCATTTCTCTTAACTGTCCTCCAAGCAAATGTAACTACATGTATAAATTAAGAACACACAGGATGTCATGCTTTGGATTTAATGTTTCCTGGCAAATTGAAAAAAATTAAGCATAAATTAACCAATTTAGTTAACTTAGTAATGTTGGAATTGTTCACACCAATGCAACGAGGTCAAATTTTGAAGTGGACAAATTGTAAATTTCTAGTATTAGTAGAAGTAAAACTTCATGTTAGCACATGGTTTTATACCATTCTTCAATACATTCTGTACTTATTGTCCTTGTCAGTTTGTCATTAGCCTTTTTGGCATGATCTTGCAATAAAGAACTTGTAACATTCTACTAACAGTAACGTGTGGTTTGACTGACAATGATTGAATAATTAATATACTTACCTAAACAAGCTTAAAGGACAGTAATGTTCACTGCCATAGTGAGACAACATTTCCACCTGAAAAAGGTATGACATGTATCATAATTTATTCATCTCTTTTGAAAATAAAACAATGGTTAACTACATTGTACTGTCAATTGTAAGACATAACAATGTTATTTTGCCTTAAATTTACAACCATTCAAAAGTATATATTTTGCTGACTGTGCCATTTCCAATGCCATGTTCACTGTCACAGTGACATCATTGGCGAACAATCAACATCTACATGTACATCACCTGGTGGTAGAACTCTCCAGCTAGAAGTATGATTTTTGATGGTGTATTATCTAATTACAGGAGAAGGGTGTATAACAATGACAGTATGGAGCTCAGGACATGAATTACACTCCCACAAGATACTAAAGAACTGGTACCTTCCAGAAGTTAACTGGAATATTGTGGTATCTCCCTCAGGATTTCATGGTGTTCCTTGCAGCCTCAGTTTGGTTGGGTACCACCCAGAATTTTACTGAAAGTCTTTTGTGATTTTGCTGGATAAAATCTCCTAGGATTTTGGCAAACAGCTCAAGGAACAGGCTGTCAAAAACTCTTAATAATGAAATAATAATAATGATAATTATGCCTTTCTGTGGTGCTGGCCCAAAATGTAAATGTGGGCAATTTTCACCAGCAGCCAACTTGTTTAGGTAATTTTTCAGGTTTTAAATGACCAGGAGGTTCAATCAGCGTGCAGTTAATTTTCACGTTGCGCTCACCTGGACATTGTTCAAATACAGAGGTCAATTTCTTCTCATTTGGTCAGAAAATACATGGATTGAGTAATTTGAGTTACTGAAAAAGAATCAGCTGATTGTTTTTCTGTGTGAAATTCATGTATTACTAACTGACATTTTTGACACAAATCAGAAGCTGATCTTTTGTGATTTACGTTAAAATCTATCAGTTACATCACATGCACACAAAAAATCTAATTATATACATGTATGTCATGCATGACAGACACCCTTCTTTTCTGACATAATTTGTTTGATATTCCGTTTACATGGTGGTTGAAAATAAATATCCTGAACACTTTCCTGTGGGATCCTGAACCTTTTACCACAAAATCCAATGGGAATTAAAGCATATTTCAAGGTCAATGTCATAATGTTGAATGCTCAAGTTTTGTACTGACAGTGGTGCAGACTGACACAAACCTTTAGGTACTTAATGAAGAGTTTCTCATCAAGAGGGAAAGACTGGATGGTTCTCTCATTTGCCATGTGGAATGTACCGAGGAGTTGCCACTCTCGGGCCGGGTACCTACATGTAATAACAAAGAATTTCTTCACTTAACTTACATGTAGGCATTAAAGTAAGTGACATGGTTTCATCATATGTATGTCAGCAGTACCAGCTGGACCATATTACATTTCATTTTACTGTTACACTTGCTGCAAAAATCAGTGCAATACTCTGCTATGGGTACCAATGATTCTACTCAACAATGCACATGCCCGTAGCCAGGATTTTGAAGCTTAAGGGGGGGGGGGGGCGGTTCGTTCCAACTGCTTGAGGGACCAGCGAGCGCCGTAGGGGCGAGGTTCCTAGGGGGGTCCGAGTGCATGATCCCCCGGGAAATTTTGAAAAATGAACCTTCTGAAATGGCATTTCCTGCCCTTTTAGAGGATTTCAAAGAAAAAAATCAGAGATAACTTTTTTCAATGACAAAGTAAGTTGTTTCCCTATGATTCCAGCCTCGCTGGTGACACGATTCCAGTCCATCTTTTGAAGAAAAATCTTGGACATTTAGATAAAAAGTGGACCAAAAAGTGGACCTTTGAGCAAGGCATGGGCAAGGCTATCCCACAGAACATAACAGTACTACTGTGAAATTAAACGATTGGTCTTTTTCCTATTTTGAGTATATCTCTTAAATATAGTGCATAATTATAATATTCAGATAAACCTGTTCATTTGGCAAAGTCTGTCATCATTCTGAGAAAGTCGGTAGTCACAGTCTGAAAGTTGGTTCTTTAGTCACAACTCACCTTTCTGATGTCGACACCTTAAAAGACTCTGGCACAGAGGAGAACAGTTCAAAGTTGGCGATGTCGATCTGCTTCAGTTGGATGGGCTCACAAAGCTCTACAATAAACCTGTGGACAGAAAACAGTACTTAGTACATCATTCTAGGCACTATAGAATGATCCAATGTTACATCTGTCTTACATGTGCACCTGTGAATTGTCTACTAGATGGAGAGAACTTCCAGACCATGTAACAAAACCCACGCATTGCAGAACAAGTGGGATCATTCAGCTTCCAAAGTCTTAGAAAAAGAAGTCAAACCCAACAAGGAACAATTGGCATTGTAGTTGAAAATTTAATCTCTGTGTTCTCTTTGTGTTGGCATTAAGTTTAACATTGTACCATGAAAAACATGGTTGTGTACATATCAGCAAGCACATGCAGCTGCCCATGATGCTGGATTCCTGGAATTCTTATTGAGGTACATTTTGTGTGTGAGTGATGATCATGTATTTTTTGTTTAGTATCAGCATTGTCCTTAAAAAGTTAGACTACTTAAAGTCTGAAATAGACAAAAGTTAATCCTTTTAAAACAAAGAAGTGACATCTACAAAATACTTACCATATCTTGGCACTGCAGGGGTTTAACATGTACATATCCTTATTTTCCACCAGCACAGAAGATGAGTGCTGTATGGGTACAACAAAGATAAGCGTCAGTTGTGTTGTGCTTCCTTACGCTCCCTTTACACCTTGAGCAAATTGAATTTGTACGACCTTGGAAAATAATTTGAAATGAAAAGGTATCAGACACAGACTTCGTGAACTAAAACCAAACACAAAAAGTTTAGAAACTTTAGTTGGGGTTATTGTACATGTAATCTCTACTGTTTTTTATGATCAAAATTGTGTCTTATTTCATTTGAAAGTTTGTTCTAAAATCACCTTTAGACCTCCCACAACTCATATTGTATAATTGATTGGCAAACAGTACTAGTATTCTTCTAGAATTTCTAGAAAGAATGTTCATCTCCCTTTAAAATGACATCCCATTTGTGATAACCCTAGCCTTATTCTCCATACTTAATGACATGTTGATGTACTGACTTGTACTTCTCTGTTGGCAGACAGGATCTTGGCTCCACACTCCACTGATCCATAGTTATGCCTGCCCTTCTGAGTCTTCTGTCCCTGAGTTGACACGGGTTGTCCTGTTTGGCCTAAGGTAGAGGCAAATATATATAACACTGGTCACCTCAATTTTGGAATGTCACTTTCCGAATTTTGAGACAGCTATGTTGAAACCCCTGATTTTCAACTTTGTTATTCCTGGATGTACAGTGAACTTTTGCATGCCATTGGAAAGATCATGCTATCTTCAGTACCAGGTTGCTTTTTTTATGGTCAGAATGTACAAATTTATCAAGATATTTGACTTTAAAAATTGCAAGCCTGGCGGTCTAGAACACACACCGTCATGCCCAGCAGCTTAGCCTGGCAGTCCTAAACTTTAGCCCGCGGCCTGAGTTAGCCAGCCCGCATCCAGACCGCATCCAATTAGCCTCATGAACACCCCATGAAAACCACTGAATTAATGAGAATTCACATTTTCACACCTGTGTAATTAACAAGTTTGTGATAAATTCAT